ACCGCCAACCCCCCCGCCAAGCATGACGTTATATGGTATGGAATAGCTCTGTGGTCAGTTTGGGTTAGCTGTCCTGGCTGTGCTCCCTCCCAGCTTGTTGTGCACCTGGCCGAGCAAGAGAAGCTCAGAAAGTCCTTGAGTAGCCTAAGCACTACTTAGCAACAACTGAAAACATCAGTGAGTTACCAACATTCGTGTAGTACTAAATCCAAAACACAGCACTATGCTAGCTACTATGAAGAAAATTAACTGTATCCCAGCCGAAACCAGGACAATTTTACATTCTTCTCTTTCAGATTGAAAGGAGAGGAGAATACTGTAATGGTAGATTATGTTTTGCCAGACTTCAGCACAATCAAAAAAGGATTTTGTAAGGTAATGATAGTATGGTTTTTGAAGTATTTTTTGGACTGTTCCCCTGCACAAGTCCAGTAGAGAGGTTAAAAAGACTTTCTTTTTTCTAATGCTGCATTGTAACGTATTTCTGTGCTATGCATTAATTGGTAAAGTTTTCCTTAGGAAGCTGAGATGAAAATTAAATACGATTTTTCCAGCATAGTGTTTTATGTTCTATTATTTAATATTTGTAGCTTTCTATGCTTGTGCTCCATCATGCAACCTATCCATATCATTACTGTTGGGGTTTTTTTTAAAGTTAAATTGGAATATGTTTTCTCTGCTTTGATACTTTTCTGTAAGTCTCTCTGCAGTTGATAAGAGCAAAGTCACTTCAGATTTAATACCAGAGTATGTATTCTTCTTAAAAGATTTGTTGATAATACGACTTAACATAGAATATACTGCCTACCTCTGCAGTACATTAATAAGATTAGCTGAATACTGTAGGATGTAACTTCTCTTCTTAAACAGTGGCTACTATTTGTGTCTTTAATTTAGCCAAGGGAAGAGATGGTATTAAGTGGAAAATACAAGACTGGTGAACAAATACTTCGTCTAGCAAATGAAAGATTTGCAGTTCCAGAAATACTCTTCCATCCTTCAGATATTGGTATTCAAGAGATGGGAATTCCTGAAGCCATTGTTTATTCTATTCAGAATTTACCTGAAGGTATAACCTAAAAGTATTTTGAAAAAGGGTGTGGGGGGCATTGTTTTGTTTTGGGTTTTGTTGTTGGTTTTTGCTTAGGTTGGTTTGTTTGTTTTTTTAAGCATCCAAAGTGTCTGAAGAAGCTAATACTCTCAATATGCCAGTTACTAAGTTGTTGTGAACTGTTCTGTTTTCTGGCGTGTGTCATATCTTCTAGGACTGACTGTCTATAAGATTCTCTGTTAGGCAAACACAGTTTTGTGGTGATTCCTTGATTGGTTTCTATTCTTGTTTCAGTTAATCACTGTAGATTTAATTCTTCTAAAACATCCTTTTCTAACATGACCTATCTGTCTTTGACACCGATGATGGAATCTACTTGAAATCAGTTTTAGTTGTGTTTTAAAATATCTTTTTTCACTGGAAGAAGAGGAGTATCAAACTGACAAGAAAAATCAACCTGACCAAACTCAGTAATTCAAGCATCAAAGTATAAAACCTTTCTGACTGCTGTCTTTGTCAGAAGTAATACTAAAGCTTTCATTGTATTGATGACGTACATGTAATTAAAGGGGAACTGTGTTGGCAGACATGAAATTTAATAGACAATATAAGAAAAGACTAGTTATCAAAGCCAAATTCTAAAAATCAGGAGGAACAGAGGGTGATTGATCACTTTCTTGTATTTCTCAATAAAACTATTTAACTTATGTGATTATTAGATGATCATAAAATTCTTCCATGTATATTTCTTCTGTTCCAATTCATAACAAAATTGGGAAAAAAAACCCTTTAATCTTTAAATATATGTTCAGTCTCTAACTACAGATTTACATACTTATTTTGCAGAAATGCAGCCGCATTTCTTCAAGAACATAGTGCTGACTGGCGGAAACACCCTTTTCCCGGGCTTCAGAGATCGGGTTTATTCTGAAGTTCGATGTCTTACTCCCACTGATTATGATGTTTCCGTTGTTCTTCCTGAAAAGTAAGTTCTAAACTGTACAGAACAAGCTTTGTCCTTCTAGCAGAACAAACTATAAAGTAGGATTTCTTTTGCTGATTTAAAAGATAGATTGAGTAAATGGATTAATTTATATATTAAGTGAACCAAAATTGTACAAGAAGAATGTTCTAGATCTCTCTATTTTCAGACAAACCAAATAAATTAGAGACCACCTGCTTACCCTGTACTTTGGCTAATAATGTTAAGCATGTAAGTGAGTGTTTTCAGGATCAGTCTTTTTATTGTAAACAGATGAATAAGACAGTATGGTCATGAAGTGGATACATAAGTATGCAAGATTAGACTGTAGTCTTTTACTTAGACAAATTTTCAGCATCTGAATGTCATTATTAATGTAGCCACTTCAGGGATTTGGAAGGGGTAACATCTTTGCAGAGAGAGATTATGCAGTTGAGACAAAACAAGTATATCTTGAAAGTACAAAAAAATCTTGACTTTTTTTGAAGTATTATTAAAGAGTATTTTTAAATATGGTTGAAGAATCATTACCTATCTGTGCAAAGTAAATACAAAGACATCTCCACTTCCTGCCCTCTTCACATCTGCCTCCAAAGAGGCACTTGCTTTTTGTGAAAAGCAAAGTCAGGTAGCCCTGCTAAAATTTCAAACTGTCTCATAACTTGTCTGGAGCTGGATGGCTTGATTTAGCAATCAAAAATCTATTTTAAAATAGGTATGGCTAAATAGAAGTGTTGGAAATCATCACTGCTTACTTCTATTTTAAATGAACTTACAAATGAGTAACACCAGTTTTGTTCGTTTTGCAGCCCTATTACTTACTCGTGGGAAGGTGGGAAGCTCATTTCTGAAAATGATGATTTTGAAGACATGGTAGTAACTAGAGAAGATTATGAAGAACATGGACATAATATCTGCGAAGAGAAATTTGATATATAGGTAGCATAGTTGGATACATTGTTATTCCATTGTTTCGCTCAGAATGGAACTCTTGAACTACAACCTGTTTTCTGTCAGTGAGGATTGTGTTTTAGCTTTCCTGTATTTAAGTGGGTGGGGAAAAAATAATTTTCAGAATTTAAAAATAAAGTTTTACAAGCCTAATACTATGAAATAATATGCTCATTGTCATTTCATTACATCCTCATCTTTTACTGATAGCTTCATTGTATTCTTATTGTGGAAAACCTCAATGCATGAGGCAGTAAAAATACCAAATGCTTGTACTGGTGTGACACTAATACACAGTGAGAAGAAACAGAGATTTTTTTTTTTTCCCAAATTAATGTTATTCTAACTCATGCATGCAACTGAATGGACATTAAACACATCTCAAAAGGTCTCTGAGATTGCCTATCCTGAAAAGGAATACATGAGTTTTATTTTTGGTTATTTTAGTGAATAGCCAGGAGAGAAATATACTTGCAATGTGACTGCTGCTATTGAAAGTATACTTAGCCTTTGAGAAAAAAATAGTTTGAACAATTCCTTTTCAAAAAGGGGGTTGGGGTTTGTAGGTTGTGGGGTTTTTTGTTTGGCTGAGCAAATAACCTTCCTGCCACTCCCCTCACCTTTCTGAAAAGGTGACAGCAGAAGCTGTTTGAGGTGAATGAAGCCTGCAGCTGTGTCCTGGGTAGTCCCACCTGTGTCCTATCCATGCCTGCTAGATAAAAGCCCCAGCCTGTACTCATTACTTCTGTTTACAGAGCAAAGGTGGCACCAGAAGCTCTGTTGCTGTCAGTCTGTGCAGCACCGCATGCAGGAGGGGAAAGAGCTCAGAGCCAGGGAGAAGCCTGGGAGGGCTGCGCTGGTAGCAGTTGCCCTCCAGGCTTGCTTGGTTGCCAGGACAGAGTCAGGCACTCGCCCAAGGTGGATAACTGACACACAGGTGCTGACCCTGATCCTGGCCTGATGCAGCTCGTGGCCTCAGGGGAACTGCCCTTTAGCAGGGCTTGGTGACATTGGGTCGTCTTGGATTTGTAGAGGAGCATCCCATTCTCAGCTGAAGGCTCCTGTTCCCGCTCTTGTCTGCCCCTGCATACAACCAGTGAGCACACTTGTGCTGTATGCTTACCTAGCTTGGGACAGAGAGCACTGCCTGACTTAAGCAGTTGATGGCAGGGATCAAGCAGGGGCTTCACATCCTTGACAAGGCCCAGAGAGGGGCACCCTGAAGCATAACCTTCTGAAAAAATGACATCACATACCACCTCCTGAAACAAAATTGTTGTCTGCTACAATCTGCGACCCAAGGGTAACTGATGTAGTTGGATGGTCAGTGCTGTGGCCAGGGGAAGCAAAGCTATATACCACCAGCCCCTGGGGGCACTGACAGTGTTGAGATACAGAGATACCCTCATCTCTGGCTTCCATTTCTCTTCTGCTTCAGATAAGCGCATGGAATTAGAGCCATATTGTTCTGATCAATGTTCCAGATTCTCATGAGCTGCTCCTGTTGCTACCCAGAGGTCGCAGCATAGCAGAGAAGCCAACACGTGAGTGAATGGGAGACCTTGATGATGAGCTGCCCCAATTAAATAGTTTTCTGAGATGATCTTCTTGAATATGATCTTTTTCACTTTGGACTGCCAGCTCATGGTGGCTTTCCTCTGGTCTAACCTGTTGAAAGGAACGGAAGTACCACCCTCCTCCTCCTCCTCCTGTTAATAGCTACGTGAGCCACATGGGAGGCAGTCAGGGTATTAACACTTGAGAACACCACCTACAAATTCTTGGATACAGCTGTTGTATTTCTCTGTGTAAGAAAATGCAGGACATGAGTAAGGCTAGGACACTGTTAAGAGCCACATGTAAAGGCCCTTGTGTCTGGCCTCTTGGCCTCACAAAATTACCAGTGTGCTTTAACTGGGACCTGAAATAAGGAATGCACATTGTTCCCAAAAAAGCAACAATGAAACTTTTCCTTGGTAGGAGCAACCACCAATGCTCTATGAATTCATTTCTTACTTCAAAGTAAGCCTCCTTACTTTGAAGGTGGCATCACTTGCTCTTTGATAAGACTGCACTGGAAAGCGCCTCTAGACTAAACTCTTCACCCTAGAAATTTTATACTTCAAATTCAAATTCATACTGGCAATTAATTTGATAGCTCTATGCTAGAAATCATAAATAGAAAGGAGCGAGAAGTCCACGTTTCCCTACCAGATGTGTCAAATCTTGTTAAAAATAAGGGACAGAACTTTTTGAAGTCCAATAAAGTTTTTCTAATTTTGGAATGTAACCAAAAGTGTAACAACGAAAAACAGTAATCTGTAGTTCACCAAACTTGTTCTGTTCATCAGGCCCTTATACTTAAATGTAAAATATCACATTTCTTTCAACAGAAGATTAAAAATTAGTAGATCCTCCTGTCTGGGCAGGGGAAGAATAAAGGGCTCTGAAGAGCTCTTCCTTTCCTCTGCAGAATGAGATCAATCCTGACTTCTTGTCCCACAGACTGAAGGAAAGCACCCGGCAGCTATAAACTCCACCTGCCTGTCCACTTGAAGCAATTCCTTGCTGTTTGACGCCTGGTTCTACACCCACTGAGCTGCTTCTTCCTTATGAAGGCACTATGAAATGATAGACTGATTCATCACTTTTTATGCAATGCTTTATTATCATCTTTAAATTAGTACAAGAAAATTCTAAATCAAGTCACAAAGTGCAAGAATTTGTTTTTTAACAATAGTTTTTCCTCAAAGTTTCCCAAAACTTCCTAAAGCAATTCACAGGCTATCTAGCCTACCAACTACCGCGTTACCACCACTCCCTGTTACCAAGTTCAGCATGTTGAGTAAGACCCAGCAAAGGGACCAAAGAGAGACAGTGGGGAAAAGAAACCAAACAAACAACTAAAATCCCCTTCTCCCACTACTCAACGTCACAAGCACCTCATCAGGAAATACTTCCCTGTTTACAGTTCTCAATAACCTACTTCTGTACATGCTCCCTTTGCCGGGAGAATGACTGACACCCCACACAGGGCCAGAAAAAGAATACTTGGCCCTGTAGTCTAGTAATTGGGAAATTCACCTCTGAAAAGTGAAACTTGGTCTTTTTTTTCCTCCTCCAGAATTATTTATTTTACACTGGACCATCACTGTTAAATAACAAGCGCATGAACAGGGATGCGTGGACAAGATTTCAACTACATTCCCTGACTTCTAATAGGGCCAGGCCATTTAAATAAGACTATTTGCAATATGCAAGTTAACACAACCTACTAACTGTACACATCATTGGTTATACCTAACAGTGTAACCATTTCAATTTACACAAGAAAAGAAAACAGCACTTGGTTTCAGAAAACTTTGGTATCCTGGTAACTTGACCACACGTTTGAAGAGCAGTTGAGGATGTACGTACCTAAAGAAGCATATTCGCAATATCAAAAAAAAAAAAAAAAAAAAGGCATGGTTGTAGTGGAGCTAGTCCAGCAACGGGGCCATGAAAATGGTAAGGGATCGGTGTGCATCTGCCATACAAGGAAGAGGCTGAGAGCACTGCGATTGTTTAGCCTTGAGAAGGCTCAGGGGAGGGAGGGAGTAAAGATGACCGAGCCAGATGCTTCTCAGTGGTGCCCAGTAAAAGGACAGGAGGCAATGGGCACAAACTGAAATGCAAGATGTTCTCCCTAAACGTAAGGGGTGGTGGGGGGGGGGAAGGGGATTTGTTTGCTTGTTTGTTTTTAAATACTGTGAGGCTGATCAAACTCTGGACCAGACTCACCCAACAGGTTGTGGCATCTCCGTCCTTGGAGATATTCTTAATTCAACTGGAAAGGGCCCTAAGCAGCCTGCAGTAATTGACTCCACTTTGAGCTGGGTGGTGGGACTAGACCCAAGGTCCTTTCCAATCTCACTTCTATGTTCCTATGTCCAATACATGATCAAATGTCTGTCGTGAGGATGGAGGTAGTAATTTAACCCCTATAACATTATATTGCATATTTATTTAACAATTTGAATCAACATGTCCGTGTCAATGTACAGTTAGCCATCAATGTGTCAAGACAGGCCAACGTGCTTTCTAGCTTTGCCCTATGAATCCATAAATACTTTCAAATATTTATGACAAATAACCGGACACTATCAAAGTATCCTCATGTTAAAATAAACTGCTTGAGTACATCAAGAGATCTAAAAGACGACTATTATTCCTAGATTCTTTTTCAAATTGTAATTTTTTACTTGCTTTTGCAGAACTGCCAGATCAGCAGCAGCTCAGTCTGCCAGAGTGGGGAGGGAGTAACGGGCGGTAACTACTGCCTGCAAGCACACACAGCTCCCCTGCCTAACACATCCTGCCTGCCACAGCTTCAAAGCCCACTGACCTGGCTCCTAACATTTCTGACACACTTCGTACACTTTTACAATACTCATAGGAATCATAATCTACAGTTTAAAATTAGATTACAGTTAGATTATGAACTACAGATAGAGAAGATTAAAAACCTAACTGGTTATCAACCCAAGCATGGGTCTGAATGTAGAGTTGGCTCAGCCAGAAAGCCATGGGGTTGTGGGACAGAAGGAGAAAAGTGCCAAACCCTGAACTCAAAGCAGCACAAGCAGTGTGCCATTGTTACTAACGTAAAAGTAATTAAGTAGATTTTGTTTAAAAGAGTCATTAAGTAGAATGAATACTTTTTAGCAGCATAGTAATTTTGATAGTTGTAGTTCCCTCTAACTGAAGATGACATAAGAAAAAAATAGTTTGTATCACAATCAATTTTCAAACACAATCCCCCTTTTACAGAGGGGGAAAAAAAGGCTGTATTGATGTCTAACCATTCAGAGTACAAAATACACATGTAGTTTTACAACAACTACAATAGATGAGAGAATGGTATTTTCGGAATTCTTTAATTAATTTCTTCTTCTGCTTCAAGGGAATAGTGGGGTCGTTGTCCATCTCTTGAACCAATGTGAGAAGATACTGATTTGTTTGTTGTTTTTGATCTTCATATTCTTTAGTTGTCACACGCTGACAGAAGGTGAAGCCTTTGTAAGAAATCAGAGGTTCAGATTAAGTTTAATGCATCATATAAAAGCCTGATTAAAAAATATGATCAGAAACATAGGTATATTGATATTCCAGTTCAGATGTGATTGCAATTCTCTACAAACAAGGTGAAACATAAGCCCTCCACTGAGCATGGATGAACATCTAAACATTAATTGCAGAAATAAAAATCAAGAAGTGTCACAATTGCAGTATCACAGATGATTTTGTATTGCAAGCAGGCCTGCAAGGCAAAGAGCCAATACAGTTCTTGCAAACAGAAGCCATAATGGAGAAGGCTGCCTGACAAGAATGGTGTCTTGTGCTTGTCATGATCCAGTGATTGCCTGTGAGTGAATCAGATCTGTAGCAAAGCCCAATACATAATGCAAGTGAATAAATACTTTGGAGAAACGGTTTCCTCTGAACCACACCTCTGAATTCAGGAATACAATTCAGGAACTTCGAGGCGACTAGACAGCTCAGCATGGTTTGGGCACCAGAAGCAGAGGTGATGGAACACACAGCAGTCCAGGGTGAGGGCAGAGCAAGGAAACTGAGCCCAAGAGATACACAACTTAAGTATTATTTAGCTATAAAAAAATGTTGTGAACCTAAGTGGTAGAGTACTGCCCTGCAAGGTTTCAAGCCCCATCATTGGACAGACCAGTTCTGGCCTGAGGGAAGACTGGCATTCAGCTACTTCACACATTGGTCAGCAAGCTGGTTGAACAAATGTCAATTGCCTAGAGGGGAAAAAAAATTCTTACTGTTCCTTCCGTACAAACACCATCTTCTTAAGGCTTCACACAGAGAGTGGTAATAACCTGAGCTGCCAGAATTTTCATGTGGACCCATCCTTCCCTTCTTTTGCCATGAGTCTATCAAACACCAAATATGAAATACTTTTTGTGGTTTAGTAGAGGCAGATCAAGAAAACATAGTTCTTTCAAAAGGGAAAGCTTAACAACTTCTAGCAAAAAGACTAACTCTTAAAACTTCAGGGTGGACCTTTTAGTCCAGTGGTTTCAAGTGGTTTACCAGACTAAAACCAACCCTAGAGTTCCCTCAGTGTTTTTAGGAATGTTGATTTCCAGCAGACCTAATGACTACCTTCCTGCAATAGACAGACTCCTTTTCTTGTCAAGGTCCTCAAGCCTTCCCTCTTGCTCCCACCTGAACCTCAGAAGTTCACCAACTAACAATGCTCAGTGGCTCTCAGGATTTTCCTCCCATCTCCTTCCACGAGAAAAGGGAAAATGACACCAGAATATGATGCACATAGGAAAACAAGAATACGCCACGCTGGAGAGCTTACAATCTCATCAAACTAGCTATTTCAACACGTAGATGGAATCTAGATGCATTTACAGATTGAAACTCCAAAACTCAGTAGGGAGAATAAAGCATGGGGTTTGTACTTCAGTTGTCTGTTCAATGTGCTGATGGAGATCACACATGCTCCAAGAATACTGCAGACAGGCAACTCCTTCCTCTGTTGCTCATCTCTGTATTCTTTGGCTACACAATATGTGATGCTCAGAACATTGAACTGGAAGCAATTCAGACACATTGCAGAACCCAACACAGATGGTAGAAGATTCTGTACCCAAACTACTTCTCAGACAGTTGCTCTATTCAATATAGTATTAAACAGCACAATAACTTAAAGTATTACTCAGGTCCCTAACGGTTTCTCTTCAATATTTAAGCACATAATGCACTGGCAACACAGACATCAAAAGGAAGAAGCTGAAGAGTCAGCGAGAAATTAAATTATTTAAGCCAACCCTTTTAATCACAGTGCTGAAAGATATTTTTGTCAGCAAGGCCAGATTAAATGTTAGCTTGTAAAAGCAGTCAACTGGAAAACACTAACCCCATATACAGACCAAGTGTCCCATGCCTTCCTTTTAGGCTACACTACCCTTCTGTAACTCTTAAGCTCTTAATAAACTTTGTGCTTACCCAGAAAAGGAAGAGAGATCTTCAAAACAATAGACAATCAAGGTCTGCAATCAAGACATCAAACTACTGAGCTCTATGAGAATTTTTAGGTGTCTTGTGGCAGAAATAGAAGAATGCTGTTTCTAAATATAAAATCACATCAGATTCACAAATCAAATTATAAGCAGGTCACTTCAGGAAGCACATTTTGCATTAATTTCTCCAGAAGTAATTATTTCGTAAAAAAAATTTGTTACGCTTTCAAACTAGATATTAATAGGATCCTTGCTCTCTAACATTCAGAGCTGAGGGGTTTGTTTATAGCAGATAATTAAATTATTTGGTGAATTAGCCACCAGACGCTTTAATGCTTCACTTCTAATAAAGGAAAAGAACACAGTCTATGCAAAATTATAGTCAACTGATAATAAATCAATTTGTATAGAAAGTTTTATTAAAAAATGTGTATCACATCATTTACCTGAATCGATATCTGGATCCTGTCCTTCTAGCAAACTCTCAAGTCTCCTACTAGTTAGTTCCAGAAGAGTTAAAGGAGTCTGAAAATATGATCCGACAAAGAAAAAAAGTTATAAAACCAATGCTTCTGTATTTTGAGAATCTAAAGCTTTCAGATGATCAATTTAAAAACCACATAATTAACTGCAGAAGAATCTAGGCCTACATTTATTTAGGTACACATTCAAAATATCTCAAGAAGTGCACCGAAAAGCATATATATGTATGTTTACTCCTGATATTTCTGGCCAAAGAAATAGGAGGCAAGATGTTATAGATGATGTTTTCCACTGAATTATGGCAAAAAAAGCTGTACTAGAGGCCTTGAACTGATTTCAGCTTATATAATACAAAAGGCTCTCAACTGCAGTTGTGAAAGAGTGAGCCACCATCCACTCTGCTGTCACTGCTATGAAGCAGCGGGCACTTAATTTGTCAGATCTGGCTCCATCTCCAACCATGGATCAAAGTCCTAACCCTCATGTCAGAACCCTTAATAACAAAAAAAAAAAAACCACAAAACAAACCCACAAAAAAGTATTTGATTTTGGCTGTACATTAACACATACAAAACTCACAGTAACCACTTAATACTTTCAAACTAAACTGGAGGTAATTTAAAAACAAAGTCTCCCATGTCTCTAGCTGAGGTCAGAAGTGGAAATGAACATGTTGTATAAGAACTAAAAATAATATTTTACTGAAATCAAATCAATGTTTCTGTGAGGCTTATTTGTAACTGGACAATAAATGTGCAGAGCATTTCACAGCTGTCTTACAACGGCCGAGATGATTAGTTCATCTCTATCTAGTTCAGTGTTTTAAGGAGGAATTTTGTAGTTGAGGAAAACAGCAGCGAAGCATTACCACTTTAATGCAGTGGTTGAATTCAGAAAGTCAATATAGGGTCTGGGAAGGTTGCATCTTTTCACGTGTGTAACAATATGATGGAACATAAATATAATAAAATATATAGATATATTTTTATAAACTGATCCAGTTAAATAGAAAGACTATTTCATTTTGTGGTCTATTTATTTTCTTTAATGTAGAAGTCAACATTTCAAAATATTGAAAGGAACTCAAGTGCTGTTAAAGCTGCACATGTACACTGGGGCACCAGAGCATGCCATCTTATGTATCACTCAGAATATGTCAGCTGACTTCTAAAGCAGAAAGACACTAAGCAGCCTAAAAATTTAGTAGGCAGCCATCAGAAACAAGGTGCCAAATGGCCTCTATAAAAATTTCTTAACGCTTCAGATATTTTCTTAACACAAATGATGCAAATAAAGAGAGGGTATTATACGTAAAGCTCTCAAAAACCTGTTCTCCATAGTCTGAAATAGCTGCTGGCTCTCCTTGACTGTACCATTAAATTGTAACAGATGGAAAATTAAACTCTGCTCCTCAGACCTCTCATCAATAAAAAGGCACTTCATGGCCTTTAACATTTAAAATGATGAAGCCAACGAGGTAAGGAAAATGCTACCTTGAAGAGCTCGGAGTGATTGTCCATCAGAAACTGAGTCAGCAGTTCTGCCTGTGGTTTTGACAATGTCTTACTTTGCAAGATGAACTTTGTGCAAGTCTTGATGATCACGGATCTGTTATCAAACTAGAAAAGAACCACCCAGATTTGGCATTAGTTTTAATTTCAATGTATCAGCAAAGACTAAGTATAAGAGGATGCTATCAATGGGAAAAACATCTTAATATTTGTTTTCAAACAAATCATGTGGGAAGGCAGTAAACAGAATACTTTTAACTCTGGAAAAAAACAGTTAGCTTTACGGTAGGAAAGCACTATTTCCCACACTAAATGTAACAGATACATACTTGTTTTTGTAATTTGTAGCTCTCAGATTCGGATGCAACGGCTATGAATGTCAGGAGCCTGTGTAGTTCTTCTCGAATATTTGGTGCTAATAATTTTAAGTAAAGTTGTGACGCCTCTAGAGCTTGATCTCTTTTTCCTTTTTCTGCAATAGAGTAAAACAGTGTATCCAGTGCAACCGTTAATTTTCAGAGTCAAGATTACACATTTAAATTACAGTATTAATCCCATTTTTGGGTGGAGTGCCTCCAAACAAAGCAGGTTATCTCAGTGACTTCTAAAATCTTTTGACAAGACTCAATACAGCATTTAATCAATATAAGCTTAAAACTCTTGCCCCATAGCTAGTCAGGGAACAGAGGTACTTGGACAACATATACAGGACATTACTATGTTCTGTGTACAATGTGCAAACACTGAAGTGATGTTTGCACTATGTGTGTTTACACATCTTCGTATTATATTCCAGGATTCATCTCAAAGTAATTAATGGGCTGAACAATTCTAACTTTCTCATTGCTTTGAGTTTTTGTTTGTTTGGGGTTTTTTGTTTCCTTTTCTTTTTTTAATGATTTGTTTTTTTGTTATTGGTTGGTTGGTGTTGTCGTGTCTGTCCCCCCCACCTTTAAAAACCATTAGGTTATAAGTTTTTCAAGGAAATGTAGTAAGGTGGAAATAATCTCCTATAAAACCCCCTTTAGATGACAATTTAGTTTTCTTCACTTTGAAAGTGAGGAACTATCAAAAAGCCAAGTAACTTTCTTAAGGCAAGAGCAAGATGAGGGCAGATACAGGAATAGAGCCTATGTACGATTTTCTGGCCTCTGTCCTATTACTGGGACAGAGGTTATATTTTACAAGAAATAATCCAGGACTTTTGGGGTGTACCACAAGCCATTTGAAGCCATCTTTGTTTAAAAAGAACACAAGAGCAAGTAAGTGACCCTTTTCCAAAAGAAGGGCAGACAAAAAAGCAGGAAAGAGAATTGCCAAAGGACATGATCAAGACAGGTAAAAGTGTAGATATGCAGACAGGAAGTTAAATCATTTTTAGAGAAAAGAGTTTCTCTGATCTGTGATTGAAGCTTTACTGAGTTACTTTAAAAGACTGTAGGAGAAAAAAGGTTCCAATGTAAAAAGGTTCAATAAACCAAGTGGACTAGGTTGACCAACTGCATTCATTTGTAATGCAAGTAAAGTACTCTAGACCTGTTTATTTATAAGGCAACAAGTGCAGCAACATGTTTGCCTTTGCAACAGATCTGTATTATCAGCCATCTTACATCAAATTGTTTAACAACTGAGGAAAATACAGTTATAACCGTCTATGCATTGATAACAAAATGAAGTCTCATTTTAACTAACTGCAGTACTTCTCAAATTAATTTTGAAAGTGTTTCAAATATGTAGATGTTCATAGCTAGTTTGACCTCTCACACTAGAGTCAGAATAACAGCACTTTATCAAAGTAACATTAACTGCACTGGATTCTACTTGAAAATTATTATTAGAATCCAAGTTATTATGCACTGATGACCATAATCTATTCCATAGCACTGAGAGGGAAAAATGGTTGTAAAGTAGTTAAGCACAATCTCCTAGTATGAACTAGAACACAGCTGAGGACGTAAGAACACTGACTGATGTATTCAGAGAATCATTTCCTAACGATAAAATTCTGTCTACCACTTCATCAAAAAGAAAGCTAGCATTAGGAACAGCCTGTGAGATAGTCTTACTCAAGTTGGAAAGACGACAAAATTAAAGCAAGAATAAGAAAGCAGAATAGTCCTGGACATTCGCAAGTCATGTAGATACATGATCAAGCAGATACTTAATCACAGAATAGTTTGGGTTGGAAAGGACCTTTAAAGGTCATCTAGTCCAACCTCCCTTAATAAGAAAAGACCTACAGGCAACTAAAGCACTGGACTAATTCAGCAGACTTACGACACTGTCTTTTCCCTTGCCTACAGATTTGGCTGTTCTGATTCGCTAATTTAGTAATATTCTATAATATGGGTTTATATTAGTTTTTTATTTAAAGTGTGCATATGAACTATAACATCTTGAATTTAAGTGAACATTTAGCAGAAGTTACCATTAGCTAAGTGTCCTGGTTTCAGCTGGGATAAAGTTAATTTTCTTCCTAGTAGCTGGCATAGTGCTGTGTTTTGGATTTAGGATGAGAATAAAGTTGATAACACACTGATGTTAGTTGTTGCTAAGCAGTGCTTATGCCAGTCAAGGACTTTTCAGCTTCCCCTGATCTGCCAGGTGCACGAGAAGCTGGGAGGGGGCACAGCCAGGACAGCTGACCCCAACTGGCCAAAGGGGTATTCCATACCATGTGACACCACGCTCAGTATATAAACCAGGGGGAGTTGCCTGGGGACAGGCTGGACATTGGTCAGCAGGTGGTGAGCAACTGCATTGTGCATCACTTGGTTTGTATGTTCTTTTATCATTATTATTCTTTTCCTCTGCTGTTTTGTTAAACTGTCTTTATCTCAGTCTATAGGTTTTACTTTTTTCTGATTCTCTCTCCCATCCCACTGGGGACAGGGGTGTGAGCTAATAGCTGTGTGGTGTTTAGCAACCTGCCCAGTCAAACCACAACACTAAGTCAGTTATTTCAAATCAGCTTTTTTTTTTGTGGATGGGATATGTAAATTTGCAATAATTCCCCTTTCATAATTTCTATTATAAATTTTTTTTTTCTCCTTAGCAAAGTATTACTGACACAAATATTGCCTTTTGTATTTTCATGAGGTTTTGGCCACAGGATCCACCACTCTGCTCCAATTTTTACACAGGCCAACCGTGTTCCTATGCCAGTAAGCTTGCTCTAGTTGTCTAAAAACTGAAGCTTTTGATAACACTCCATAAACCCTACAGAACTGAAGAAGTAACAGGGCCTATTTAGGGTAGGATTAATCTTGAACTTGTATTTAAATTAAACCCTTCTGTTTTACTTGTGAGCATATGTAGGGAGGGGTTTTTTTGAGGGATCACAGCCTGAATCACAATCTCAACAGCCCGTTTTATCATTTTAAATAACTTCTATTACTAAAAAAGCCTTAAGTCTGGAACTTACAAAACCTTATTCTGGTTAACAAGAAAACTTCATAGCAATAATTTTACTTCTATGTTGTTAGTCACAAGTAGCAATAAGGGAAATTCTGACTAGCAGTAAGAAATTTTCACAATGAGAGTAATTGCATATTGAAACAGGCTACCCACAGAGGTTGGTGAATCTCTCTCCTTGCAGATTTTCAAAATTCAGCTGGACCAGGCCCTAAGCAGCTTGCTCTAACTTTGAAATTTGTCCTTGCCTCAAGCAGAGGTTCTGACTAGCAACCTCAAGCGTTCCCCTCCAACCTATAAGTTAAAGTGTATCTGCAACGGCATTGCAAATGGTGTTACGACTCAGTCAATTAACACTAAGTTACATCCTTTATACAGCTATATTGCATTTTTTGTTCCAGGTTGCTCTTACCTATAAGTTCTATAATTCCTGAATGAATATCAAGATCTTGAGTGGCAAGAAGGGAGTCCTTCTTTTGACTATAATACTTTAGTATAATGTCAAAAAGAATCTTCTTGTATGTATTCAGACTGCTGGGTTTAGTGCTTTCAGGTAACTGCTGACTAACCATCACTATGAATTGGTCTGGGAAATACTCCAAGCATTCAATTGCAGCATAGAGCCATTTGTCAAGCCTGTAGAAGGAAAAGTTAGTTTTAGTGCTTACTTTGAAGTGCTCTGCCTATTCTTATTTAATCCATTAAAGAAAATTAGATAGAAATAACCATGCAGGTATAGTCACATATTCGAACCACAGCATTAAACTTGTTGCTTATTAAGCAGTTTATGTAACTTATTTCACTATAGTAGTTCACGGACCTGCTCAAAATAAGCAGCTTCCATGGTTTTCCTATGCTACAGACAATATACCTGAGGTATGCCCAGATCAAAACAAGCTGCAATCATGCCAGACCATCACTGACTCCAAGACACTTGCTTGATTCGCTACTATTTAAAACCAAGCACCACCCCACTGTTAGTCCAACACACACAATGAAAACCCACTAGAGCTGACCAGGGTGAAAAAGAAAGGGCCTGGTTCTATATAGAAGAGAAACAAGACTATTAGTTTGAAAACAGAGAAAAATAAATAGTTTAAACCCCAGAAGACTGTGGAAGCAGTTTATTATATGACCTACTATAAAGGCATGAGTTTTCTTAAGCATATATTCCCTGCATGACTTAACTACAGAGAGACAATATAAGGAGAGCCTAAAATTCAGGTTTGAACAACTCATTGTTCAAAGAAGCTGGAAGGTCTCAGAAGAAAAAGCCACAAACTAAATCATTTTGTATAGAAGAAATCTTAAACTATAGAACTTGGGGGGCGGAGGCGGGGGGAGGAGGCAGAGGGAGAATTACTTTTATCTGACTCTCTGGATAGAAAATAATTTGAACTGAATCAATAACTTGTGAGAAGATACAAATATTACTTAAGATCTACAGAACCTTACTTTTATCATGGAGAGGAGAAACAAAGATTTTGAACTTGCTGTGGGATGGCCAGATAAACATGAACTTCTGTTAGAACCAACAAGGGTTGTATAACTCTTGGATGCATAAATGGGGTAATACAGTAAAGTAGAAACAGGACCACTACCTCCCTTTAGTTATGACCCCATGAGCGCTGCAATCACTGCAAGCAGGACTTGCTTACAGTTTTTAAGTGCCTTCATGGCAAGCAGGTATTTGATTATTTCGATGATAACATGACACTACTTGAAAACTGAAAACAGAAAATTTTAGATATAAAGTATGCTTACTCCCCCACCTTCATACGGGGGCAATTAATCCTACAACTACTTGTAATACAGGCTGCTATTTTTTATACCCGGGATTTTCCATTTCTCAGGCATGATGAGCACCAGACCTAAATAATATACTGTCTACAAAGATGCTACTCTAGCTGCCCCCTCCCCCCAATTAAGTAATTGTAGAATAAAGTAATGAAGTAAGCATTTAATTTTCTTAACACTCATCTGATATATTAGCAAAGACCAAAATGTTAGAAACACTTAACACAGAATAATATAGATTAAGAACCACATGTGAGATATTTTAAGAGACATAAACTCACCACTCACCCAAGAATCAAGTACAATGGAAGTATAAAGCTCAAAAGAAACAGTGTTCAGTAAGCCATTCTGGGAGGAAAAACCCATGGAGTTAAGATGCTATCCAGCAATAAGCCTAGTTTGGAACCAGGAGTTTTAACTTACATAAAATTCTAAACATTTGTAAAAATACTAGTATTTTCTCCCTAAAGGAAGAACACATAAAAACTGTGAGAAAGAGTTCCTTCAGGTACACAGACTGACCCTGATCTTGCAAACAGATAAACATTGTATTGATCTGACAGAAACAAGCACTACTGAGACACACACATATGAGGAAACATATTTAGAGAGGAGACATGACATATTCATTAAAGAGACATGCTAAGATAGAGATCAGTGAAATCAACAGAAACACTACTAAAGAAAGAACATCTAAGGAAAAGAGTACTGACAACACACAGCCACTTTCACATTCTCATGATACAAGCATTCTCCAGTGCTGCAGCTTAGCTTCTCCTTTTCTGTTGCTAACAATAGGTGCCCTATTGACTTTACATCTTCACAGCACCACCACCAGCAACAGTGACAAAGAAATAAAAAGCCTCAGAATAAGTTTTTTCAAGTTCTAATACCTGTTATATAGACCTAAGAGTGAAGTGTCTGGTCTAGAAACTAGGACTGTTTTCAACATTTAAGGGTAAAAGTTTTAATGTATACTTAAAATCCTCAAATGTCCAATCCTAAACATAGACTTTTTGTGAATTCCCTTACCACTTCTGAAAAGAAGTCAACAAAGGAAAGTACAGTAATGCCACCCCGGTCTGCAAGAATACAAGCATAACAATGTCTATTTTGTTCACTTAATACAAATGTTTGATCAAGAGTAAAAAAAGCATTTACTAACAAATCCATTTTATAGATGTATAACTTACTCAGGCAAGTTTAAGCTACATGTAACCTCTCTGTCCAGAAAAGTGTTTGAGATAATCAGGTCTTCTTCTTTGCCAAAACAGTCTGGTTTTGTCTTCACTGAAGACACCAAGATATCTTCTAAAAGTGGAACATCAATTAACTGCAGCAGTCGTAGCAAAGTTTGCTGTTTCCAGACATCTTCTATTACTGAGACCGTAAATAAACAAAAAATATCCTCAGAAATAAGGCCTTATGTGAAACTTTGTTTTTACTCACTCAAGAATGTTTTAAGTATTCAAAGAAAACAAGGTAGCAGTGTAGCATGAAGTTTCTGTGTTGGGGAAGAAGGGATCAAAACAGGAAAGCTAATAAAGGCGGCTTTATAGAGAACATATCTCCCCCCCATATTAGAATTACGAATAACCTACTCTAATTAGTAATATGTACACAAAAAGACAAGTGAATAGCAAAGGAATCATATAATGCAGATCCACTTATTCTTAAAACCTATTTCCTTCTGAAGTGGTATTTGCATAAATAATAAATAGAATAGCACCATTCTGCAAAAACTTAAACCTGTTTTGTTTCCTTCAGTTTACTTCCTATGAACATTTACCCATTTAGCACTCATTTAGCTATTTTGTCATTAGTGACACGTTAAATTTAGGAGACTGAAGGGCACTGTTTAACAGAAATGAGGTACTCACTCCAAGCAGATACAGTGAAGAACAACCAAGTTCCAAAAAGAAAAATTCAATCCTCACCTCTTTTTGAAAGCAAACGAGTTGGTTCATTAACCACGATCTTTGGAGGTAAAGATGCATGAACATTTATTGATCGAAGCAGATCCTCTACCCTCTTTTTATCGGCTGCTTCTAATGTTAAGGGGTTTGAAAGTGTTGTTTCACACTTCATTCTGCTTAGGGGGGAAAAAGAAAACCAGATTTATAACAAATACAATCAGGACACATTTATCTTTCTGTCACTTCCTAAATTGCTGTTAAATCAGTACTTTAGGGCTCCATTGGTTTTCTAGGAGCAGGATAGACCTCAGATACAATCATCTACATCTGCTTTGTGGAAAGGGCAAGGATATTGATTCCAAATACTGATTATTAGTTCCATTTCTTTTACCAGCTTCCAGCAAGTAGCTCATTCATGCCAGTTCTCAGATTTCAGCACAATTGATTGCAAAACAAAATGATTCGTAGGCTTATACTACTGTGCCAGACTCTGTTCTGAATATCAAGGGGCAGTTCAAAGTAGTTTAACATTACCAAGAAATACAAGGTAACATCTGCAATTTCGGCATGACATTTCTCAGAACTGGCACGTAGTTTTCAAGTCTCCAATACCAGGGCTAGACAGACATAATTTCATCTACAGTTCACACACCTTAACTTAAAAAAAAAAAAAAATCAGAATAATTCAGAGTGGCTCACTTGGAACGTCTTTTTGTCTTCTGCTTGCAGATATGCTCAGGAGACAAGTTCTCACTGTCTTTATTCTTTCTCGGAAGAGGAGGAGTAAGACTGTTATTTACAAATTTATAGAGACTAGTGTTTGTGTCTTCAAACTCCGTTTCTTTTTCATTCTTGAATAAATAAAGCTTTGCTCCAACTGGCTCAAACACCTTGTGATCCATCAACGCTTGGCATACACGGACTCCCTTCAGCCGAGAAATATCATTGCAGCTTAGGTACATGCTTTGCATAAGATGGCTCAGCACCACATCAACAGCATTTGAGCCAGTGAAACAGTTTTTATATGTTTTCAGAAGTTGTCTACGTCTTTTGATTTCCACCTGACTGTGAAGAGCATGAATAATACTATTCCACAGCTGAGTTGCTTGAAAAGGACCATCACAGTCTGCAAAATATTTACATGAAAAGTTTTACAGATGTTTATAAAGATTTAACATTTTAAAAAATACTTTTACATTGTCAAATTAGTTATATATATATATATTTAAAAATACTCCAGAAATCAGCTTAATTTTACAAAGACAGGGAAAAATAATACTTCATGCATCAGTCCTCCTTTTAAATTGACTCACACCCACTAGGGTAGAGTCAACAAAAGAGAACAAAAAGACACTAAAAACAGGAGAGGAAGGCTTTTTTGTTACTACCACACATTCTGTATGTATGTGCACATACTCATTAATTCATTAAAGAATCACAGAATGGCTGAGGCTTGCAGGGACCTCTGGGGTCCATCTGGTCCAACCTCCCCCACCCAAGCACGGCCACCCCAAGCCGGTTGCCCAGGACCACGTCCACAGACAGCTTTTGAGTATCTCCAAAGGTGGAGCATCCATAACCTCTCTGGGCACCACTAAGAAGAGCCAGGCTCCGTCCTCTTTACGCTCTCCCCCTTCAGGTACGTGTAGACATTGATGAGAACCCCCTGACCCTTTTCTTCTCCAGGCTGAGCAGTCCCAGCTCTCTCAGCCTCACCAAGGGGTGATGTTCCTCCAGTCCCTCATTTCTCCTCCACGTATCACTCCCAGCTCAGCAGACGACAAACCAACATTTGCAATACATTAAACCCGCTTGCCCCCTCAACCTTTCGCCCCGAAACGCTTAGGCGCAGCTCCACGCCCAGCCCTAAGCAGCTGCACCCCCTTAACCACGACGCCTGGGGGTACCGGCAGGGGAAGCTCCTCTCTCCTCCCCACAGCTGCGGACCCCCGCCCTCGCTCCTTCCCGCCCGCCGGAGGCACCCGGCCAACGGGCGGGCACGCGCCGGCCTCTCAGAGCCCGCTCCCCCCCCCCGCGAGACACGGAGA